AACGATGTGGTGGCGATTGACCCTTTTTGCGGACATTTCATACAAAAAACGAAATGATGAAATGCATTGCTTAGGGTTAGCAAAGTAAGTAGGGGTGGTACCCTAGTAAGTAGTGATTTCACCAGCTACGAACCAGTTACCAGTACTAGAGGGGGTGGTACCCTAGTAAGTAGTGATTTCACCAGCTACGAACCAGTTACCAGTACTAGAGGGAATTAACAGCAATAAATATTTTTTTTAGGCCTAAGAGTATGCTATAAAAATATACAGTACTAAATGTGAAGATTTTGGCAAAGTTACTGAAGCTTGAATATATAAAATTAAATTTAATATATAGCATATTTTAGAACATTAAATAAAATCTCATCATTGGCAACGTTAAGAAGCCCTTTCACCAAAAATGCAAGAGTTATATTATTTAGTTAAAAATAAGATTTAAATAGCATATATTTACTTTATTTATATACAAAAAAAAAAAAAAATCTTAAATATATAAAAACAAAAATCATATTGAAAGAAGAATAACTTTTTGCCGAATCGTTCAGCAATTTATCCGTTGCTCAGTCGAGTTCTACATATGAATAATAACTGTTATATGCTCTCTGAATTCATTTTCAATTACGTATTTTTCATAGCCATTCAGCAGCAGCATTTATAAATTCCAACAGCTTAATTGAAATGCCACAACTATCCCTTCCACAGACCACACAGTCGAATGCCAGCCATGTGCTGTTGCGTAATGTGCCCACCTCTATATCCGGTAAATTCGCCTGTGAAGTGTCCGCCGATGCGCCCACATTCGATACGTCCATTGTGGCTGCCGATATGGAAGTTGTGGGTAAGTGTGACGGTTTGACTAATCACTTCAAAGTTATTGATCTGAGGCACTCGCCCTATGTGCAGAGCTACCCGCCCAGCGGCCCATTATAACGGGTATACATTCGCGATATCGCCTCGGCGATATCATCAATGGCAATTGCTCATCGGATTACTCGAAGCCAGCGGCCAATCTGACCTGGTGGATCAACGATATACAGGTATAATATGTAACAGTAATTCATTAATTATATACATATACATATATTAATTATTGGTTTCAAGTGTGTATACTCCTTGTACCACTTGTAAAATATGCACATACAACTCGCAGACCTACCTACATACATTTATG